CACCAAAAACATGGTCTGATCTTATCTTGGTCTCTGGCTCCTCTTCTTCACAACACTATTGGATCTAAATGGCTCTGTGCATGGCGGCCAGCCTAATTAGGCATGCAAGGTATGAGGCATGCCCTTGACAATGTAGACATACCTGCTGGCCTTGGAGAACTGCATGTTAAAGATACTTTGCAGCAAGTGAACCATCTAGTTGAAATATGAGCAAAGCAGGTCACCTCCCATTCCGAGAAAAACAGCAGTTATATGTGGCAAAGGTAGAAAATGTATCTTAAAACTATCTACCCGTATTCTGTTGTGATATTTATTTTTGATGAATAATCAGAATGGTTTGTATATAGTATCTTAAGGGGGCACGCATGCCCTTTTCCATAGAGCGTCATCAGCCGTTTTTGCCTGTTTTAATTCTACGTAGAGCGTAGACGGACCGTAGTTGGCGCATTTTGCGTAGAGCCTAATTCGCCATTTTTATTCTACGTAATGCGTTGTAGCTACCCTGAGTTTATCCTCAAGCATAATCGAGAGGCTTCCTGAAAATCAGCTTAATACGTAGCATAAAGCATTGTAAGGGCCCCCCATTCAGGCCCTCTCTGTAGTTGAGGAGCTAGCCTGTGTAGCCTGAACCAGCCTTCAGGAAACTGGAAAGAGTAGAGCAGGAAACATTTCATATAATAGCAAACTATTACTTGGCCGTTTTCTCCTCTTTCCAACTACCTCTGAAGCCTGGTAAAGGCTAGCCTGTGTATTGGCCCCCTATGGCAACAGTCTGGCACCCAGGCTATCCTGTGTTTTCTCTGCCTTGAAGTACAGCATGCCCATAGCCAGGGGGGGTTCGGGGGGGGGGTGGAAGAACCCCCACAAGGCTCAAAGGTCCACTTTTTGGTCGACTTTTTATCTAAAGGTCCACTTTTTGGTCCACTTTTTAACTAAAGGTCCAAGATTTTTCTTGAAAAGATGGACTGATTCGTGTCATCAGTGAGGCTGGAATCGTAGGAAAACGGCTCACTTTGTCATTAAAAAAAGTTATCTCTGATTTTTTCTTTGAAATCCTCTAAAAAAACGCAGGAAATGCCATTTCAGAAGGTTCATTTTTCAAAATTTGCCGGGGGAGAATGCCCCAGTACCCCCCTAGGAACCTCGCGCCTTCGGCGCTCGCTGGTCCCTCAAGCAGTGGGAAGAACACCCCCATTCAAAATCCTGGCTACCGGCATGTACAGGATCATCCCATCTCTTGTTGTCCTACTAAAAACATGACCAGTGCAGAAGAGTGCTGGACCAGCACGTCGGCAGAATGTACTGCACCTGAGGAAAACCCAAAATGTATTGTACATGTACATAGCACTTCGGCAGAACGTCTCATATAAGGTCGTATTCGCACATACAAGGTTAACATCCCGTCTGTAGTTTCCAAATATTGTGTCGGAAAAAATGTTGTCTGCAACAGGCAAAATTCTGATGCAACGTTGACCAAACACCCAACGAAAACCGTAAAAAGTCAGGGTTTTGCGTAGGCGCAGTAAGTTCTGCCGAGATGTGCTGGACCTGAGATCAAAGCACACACTTCTGATCTTATCAGTTAGACAGCCACTCCAAGGGAACAAACTGCCCCTGCAAAAGATAAGAGTTTTTATAGGCTGTCTGCAGGATGCTGTGTCTACTGTGGAGATCAACCACGGCCAGCCATAGATGAGCAAAGTGCCTGACAGTTGTGGGTCATGGGCGGAACACAAAGCAGAAGTAGACAACTTAAGAGCTGATAAAAACAGTTTACCATCTTCCTCACAAAATGGGAGGTATTTAGTATTGAAAGAGGGTGGCTGCTAATTTAGTGACACATTTCTGAAGTATGAACAGCAATTGTAGCAAAACTGGGGAAGAACATTCTTGACTAATATACCTGCATGCGATTAACATTTTGTACCGGTATTATGGATTGAGGATCTCATACATGTACCTTCCTGATATGAGTTTTTGTGAATTTCTTGCTTTATATATTACCGGTATAGTGAATTTAATAATAAATGGTTTTTATTGTCCAAACAGAACCCGTGCAGTCGCAGCCTTTATACGGCTGAATTGATGCATGGTATCACATAATAATCAATACAAATCACAACAATTACAACAATCAAATAATACACAAGATACACATATTTGTTCCACAATTATTTTTTGTGGAACTGTCGCAAGGGTCTGTGCGGCTGCCATTCGGCGCCACAACGTAACCTCAATACGACTTTCCCCAACCGAAGTTAGGTACCCATTCACACCTGGGTGGAGTGAGGAAAGTCGTGTAAAGTGCCTTTCTCACAATTTTGTTTCCTTTCTCATTATTCTGCCTAATACAAATGTATATGTTTGTCCCACTGGCTGCCATAAGAGAACAGGCAATGCATATAGCAGGAAATTGAAGACAGGAAATAAAATAACTTTTTCTGGGACCTTTGACCAAACTTCCTGAAAATCTGTACACCTGACCAAGATAACAGTCCCTCATTCATAGTCTCCACCAGACTCCTGTGCAGGCTGAATAACTAGTAGAAATCAGCCTAAAGAGAAGTCCTAATATCCTTCGATTTCACAGGCTCCGTGGAGGCAAATGGAGCTTCTCTGGCAGGCTAATTCTCCTATGGCCAATTATATGCCCTTTTTAGGCTGATTTCTGCTAGTTATTCCGCCTGCAAAGGAGTCTGGATTCAATTCCACCTTTGATTGGTGAAAGCAAACCGCCCTTCCTGAGATCACAGGTCTAAATAGTGTACACAGAGGTGAGGTTGGCTATCTCATCCTCTGACCCTCTCTTGTGCTGTATTAGATTAGGTGACAGTGATGTCAAAAAAGGGGTCAGGTAATCTTCTAATTCACCCAGATGGCCAGCTAGATATAAATGCCTGTGTCTTCTGGCACTACAGTATATGACGGTCCACAAGAGCATGTCACTAACTGTACTCCGCTTACATGCAGTTTATTTTCTGACATTGAAGTACCAGTGTTGGACAAACACTTTCCGCGGTAACTTGTGATGCACAGATGCAGTCATGCTTTATCAATGAAGGTTAGGCCTAGGAAAAAAATGTTGTTTTCCCTGTTTCCCGACCAACCCTAGGAAAAACTGCTGACCCTAGCCTTTTTTTTGCGCCAAGGACATCATTTTTTTAGCTGATCGACCTTTTCTGACACCTGAGTGATGAAACGTTGTACAGTCAGTTTTCCAGCATTGACATCAATAATTGAAGTGTTCTCGTGGAAATTCTACTTTGTTTGACAGTAATTTATATAAGTTCAATCATTAGAGATTGCCAGTGTAATAAAAAAGATGAAAAAAAATTAAAAAAAAGATAATCCCTACCTACCGACCCTAATTTTTTCAGGACTGAAACATGTACAGGAAACACAACATTTTTTTCCTACATGGTTACATGTAACGTTACCTACAAGCTACAGATTTCGTTAGTCAATGTTGAAAAGCAATGGACGCTACTTGAAACGACTAAAAGTTTTCAAAATGTATCCAGTTGCTTGAGTAACTATTTTCTTGTGGATGACATACATGCATCCTTTTTACTGATGGCTGAAATTGGATTATGTGACCAATGAAGCCGAGTAGATGGCCGATGGCCTGCAGGACTCGGGGTGATTGTCGAGGATGACCGGCCACTAAAGGTCACTTGGAGGAAAGTGACATCTTAATAGTATTGACTTGAGGCCACAGTAATTTAATTTGTTGGTTCACGGATTTTCCCATTTAATATTTTTCTGATTTTCTGCCTCTGAAACAACTCCAAAATACTCAAGTTTTAGCCCCAACAGTTGATGGAAGTCCCTTCTCTTCAGAGCTGTTACAGTTTTTCCATCTATCAATGCAGTGGATTTGATTGAAAGTTTGAAATTCATTGTTTGAATAACAAACCAGCCTGGTGTGTTGACTTCATGCCTCCTATCATATCATTTTGGGCTATCATAGGATGCGATGCCTAGGTCTTTTTTTTGCCCTGTCACTTCCTATTTTTGAAAAAATCTGAGAACCAACCAATCAAATTGGTGTGGCCTAAGCCTGTACACTCCTGATCAATGCAAAGAGTTAACCTCAACTGACTTCATTTGGGGTTCCCTTATCTCCGTAGTGTCCGCATGAAATTTGAATGAATGGATGAAACTTTAGAAAGGTCAAAACACTTCATACATCTTAACCTAGCCTCCCTCGCATTGTTGGAGCGGGAAACCTTGAGTCCTCTCCATGGCAAAAACTCCCTCGGCGGCAAAATCGTCCCTCCGCCACATAACTCGCGTTGCGCACCGAAAAAATAATGCCGCCGCCCAACAAGTCTGCAAAGGAGGCTAATCTTAACCCACTTAAAAACATGAAATGTAGCAGAAGTTCCTGAAAATAGTCAAACATGATAAAATAGTCCAACACTATTCTGATGTAGGTTGCAATAACTTGCAACAGAGTTGTGATAATTATGAACGTTTTGTAGTAAAGTAATACAGTCAAAAGTTTAAACTGCCCAAGAAGACTAAGGGGCAGGTGGGGCTGTAAGGTCAACATCGTCACTTGTACAGGTTTAACTGTAATGTACAGATCATCACTTGTGTTGTACATGTTTGATAGAGATTGTCACTTGTACAGGTTTAACTGTAATGTAAAGATCATCACTTGTGTTGTACATGTTTGATAGAGATTGTCACTTGTACAGGTTTGACTTTAATGGGGGCCCGCAAGCCCTTTTCTGTAGAGCGTAATCAGCCATTTTAATTCTACGTAGAGCGTAATTGGCGCATTTTGCGTAGAGTGTAATTCACCCTTTTAATTCTACGTAATGCGTTGTGACCACTTGGAATTTATCGTAAAGCGTAATCGAGAAGTTTCCGAATTCAGCGTAGAGCGTTGTACAAATCGTCACTTGTACAGGTTTGACTTTTGGCTGTAAATGTAATGTAGAGATTGTGACTTGTCCAGGTTTGACTATGAATGTTGTTTCTTGTTTCTCCAGAGGAAATGTTGGAGTGGCCGGCTCCCTGCAGACCCTGTTCTATGCTGAGGTGACGGATGACATGAGGGTGTCGGCAGGGGGCGGGCTGAAGGAGGAGGGGGAGTTGATTGACGTGGTGGAACTGCCTCTGGCCGACAGTCGCAAATTCATCATGGACCCCTCCATCAACAGACCTGGACTCCTCCTGTTCGCTTTTATGTGGTTTTATGACACAAAAATGTCACACTCTAGTTAGTAAAATGGTAAAGGTCAAGGTTTGTAGCCTTTTTTAAGGCCATAGGGGCAGTGGGTTGTTAATCCACTGTGTCTAGGACACGGTAATGGTAGGTGGAGCCCATCCCTCCCCTTCTGCCTTTGAAAGTTTTACCTCCTCAACCGAAGTCAGATACCTGAGTGGAGTGAAGAAAGTCGTGTAAAATACCTGAAAGATCGGTGGCATCGGGCAGGATTCGAACACAGGACCTCTTGGGTCTGAGCCGAACACTATACCGTTACGCCACACGACCCCACAATCTAGTCAGTGCAGCTGGAAAAATCAATCGTGTAGGTTTAATTTTCACTTGTACATTGAATTTTTCCTGTGTAAATCGGACTGCTTTGACGTGCGTCAAGAAAGTACGTAGGTCAAAGAAGGCCAATTTACACACAGGAAAAATTTGACATTCAAACTTTCGCGTGCATACAAAGTTTTTGTACCATCTGGTTTTTGTCCACATATCGGGTTTAAAAGCACCAAATTTGACACACACCTTTTTAACATATTCTAAATCTACACAAATATGAATATATAGTGAAAAAAATCAACATTAATGTTTCTTCATGAAAATTAATATGGTATATGTACACATGACTGGTAGTACAACCAACCATAAAGACCACGAATCTGTTGTTTTTTCAGTACCGTGTTTCTCTGAAAAGTTACATATCCTTGAATTGCAGTAGTGTGAATTATCTTTTGTGAACATGATATTAGAGCACCTACAATGTACCTATATGTATATGCGGGCAGAAGGAAACCACAGTAAAACATGTCCATTTTTACTTATACAGTAAAGCATTAAAACAAGATCTTTTACTTTCAATGGTACTCACACTGCAACACTATTTTTTATAGCCTCCTTTTCCGGCAACCCTACATATATCTCCGTGGAACGCCTGTTCCACGGAGATATATGCAGGCTGGAGCTTCTATTGCGTGCGATCTACGATTGATCAGAAAATACCCCCCCCAAAAAAAAAAACGACCGATCCGGGAACGCCTGAAAAGGAAGCTAATTTTTTTACTCCAAACTTCTATGCATGAGCCAACGTAGGGGAAAAACCTAATTTACTGTCCTAATGCAAAAAGTTTGAAATCACATCACAAGAAGACTAATAGCGTAACATTAAGAGAAAATATGCATGCTTGTTAACAATATATGATACACTATGCTAAAGTGCAAACAGAATAGTCATTAATTATGGAATTCAAATTTTCTGAACTTTTGGTGTTCATTGTTACATTCATATATGTACAGTGCATTGCATTACTGGTACTTTTATCCATTGACATCATTAAATTGAGCCGGTCTCAACAAAATGTGTCATAGTCTTGTCCTGTCTGATGTGTTGTTGAAGAAGTTAGATCTTCAAATTGGGCTATAGTCACGTTGGACAAGGGGTCGGCTTAGGCAAGTTCCTTAATGCTTACCATGGGGGGGGGGGGTCAAGACTGGGAAAAGGCGGTTGTTTCGGCCAGATGGCCAGCTTATAGAGGTGGTCGCTTGGGTAAGTTTGACTGTATTTTACTGCATTCATGAGGCAACAAAAAAAGTTTGACTAATTAAGTTTGCTAAAGAGGCTAGGGATTTGTGGTCCATTGGGCTCTGCTGCCTTGAAAAGCGTTCCCACGATAGCATGCAAATGTCACTGCTCTGGCAATGCAACGTTAACTCTCATGGTAATTAATTCCCTTACCAACCTAAAATTTGAGTCTTCCAGCACATTTTAGGCCTAAAAGCAAGTAAATTTTATGGATGACATCCTCCGCAGACTCCAAATCTAATGCAATAGGGAAAAAACAAGGTTCCTACATTTTCAGATTTTGAAATAATTGAAAAAAAACTTGATAAACAAGAAATGATACCTATATTGTGCAAAGTTTACTGCCAACTATTACAACATCCATTTGTCACTGAAAAATAAAAGTTTTCAGTCATTGTACAAGTGGTTTTGATTCAGTGAACATCGCATATAAAAGGAATGAAATGCATCACTGCAAGAGACAAAATGCACAAGATTCCTACATTTTAAAATTTTGACATCATAAACTTTGTTATTAAACAAGAAATGATACATATATTGTGGTAAGTTTACTGCCAACTATTACAACATCCATTTGTCACTGAAACAACTTTGAAAAATAAAAGTTTTCAATCATTGTACAAATGGTTTTGTGGGAACATCACATATGCACAGCCAACATCACATATAAAAGGAATGAAATGCATCACTGCATCAAAGTAAAAGACAAAACATTAAATCAGATCATTGCCTTGTCTCCTCTCGTCATATTTATCTGCCATCCACGTTCCGGCATGGCAACAGACATCTTTGCCCATTTTTAGCATGTTGACTACTTCCAGAAGGCAACAAAATTTCTTGGTTTTTTTTTCCAAAATCAGGTGAAAATTAATAAGGGCTGATGTCATCCATAAAAATTACTTTCTGTGGCCTTTATAGGCCACACCAATTTGATTTCTTGGTTAACGGATTTGCCCGCTTCATTTTTTTCTGATTTGCAAATAAAAATAAAAATTCAGAATCAACTGCAAAATGCTCATATTTTGCCCTAAACAGTTGAAAACAGTCCTTTTCATCCTAGTTGTTACAGTTATTCCATCTTTCAATGCAATGGTTTCATTAAAAGTTCAAAATTCATTGTTTAAATTTTGAACCAGCCTGGTGTGTTGACTTCATGGCTCCTATCGTACCATTTTGGGCCATAATAGGATGCCTGGACCTGTTTTTATTTTTTTCGCCCGCCCGCTCCATTATTTTTCTAGAAAAATCTGTTAACCAAGATATTAAATTGGTGTGGCCTTATGTCTTATTTACAGAGACCCATTATCACCCATTCCATCCCAGCACTGTTGGCTTATGTGTACATTATTATTGTTACCCTCCATGAAAATGGGGGTACTGTTTTTACTCCGTTTCATGTTTGGTCTGATATCTGAAGATCGGTGAGAAGGAACTGTACGATATTTGGCAGATTGATGGATGGGGCCTTGGAGATTGTGTAGGTTGACTTTGAGCCCCTGGTGGTTGACCTTGGTACTGCAGTTTAATTTTTTTTATTCTGTTGTTTTCGCGTTATGGACTGTTTGTGCGATATTAAGGTAGCATGTAGTTGTTATTACCATGGTTTAGTGGCATAAATTTGGGTCCCCTAGCTGTTTGCGTTTGACATTTACAAAATGTTTAATGTTGGACTTTTTGTGTTGAATGTTTGGAAAATCTGGGGGATGGTTTGGTATGATTTTTGGTATGTGGGTAGTTGTTGAGTCTCTTTGTGTTTTGGAGTGCATTAGCAGGTTGTCGCATATTTTTATTGCTTAATGTAAAAGGATTTTCACTTTTTCACCCCTACTTCATAATAGGATGGTCTGTTTGACCCAAAAGTTGGGACAGAGTGTTTTTGTTTATACCTCCAGCTGGCAGGTCAGACCCAGGCAGCCCTATCTATTTTTACCCCTAGACAGAGCCTGCAGGAAAATAAATCTTGTTTGTCTGGTCTGCAGGTCATTGACCTACATGTACAGGCAAATGTAGCCTGGGTACCATCCCCAGTAGTATATTCGCAAACTCTATAACAGTTATAGAGTTTGCGAATATACTACTGGGGATGGTACCCAGGCTAAGGCAAATGACCTGCTGGCCATCAAAGTAAACAAACCATGGTAACAAGACACTAAACACCTGCACATGACAGCTTGATAAATACAAAGTGCCACCACAAATCATTCTGCTGATAACAACAAAGTTTGACTCATAATATCTGTATTGAAATACACCAAAAGATTACAAAATAACAAGCTATTTCATGGAGGGATGATGTCTACGACTTCTCCTTGTTGACACTGTATCTAATATATATGAGGCTAAATGGACTTCAATTTAAGACCCAGAGTCTATCTGGTAATTATGATGTGTAGGGCCAGTATGAATGAAAAGGGAGATCTCATCTCATACACTTAATTTGCTTGCAAATATATAAATGGTTTAACATCTGTGTCCATAATATCACCAGGGTCCATAATATCGCCACCTTGAGAAACAGTGTGCTAAAGATATTT